TAAATAACATATAGTTTATTCGACATTTATAGTTGTCTTAAATGCCTACTAGAATACTGATCGTTATTCATAATATGAATTTTATATTCGTGTTAACGAAGACTATAGAATTTTTTTCCGAACATGTTTTGACCAAACAAATATAAGAAATGTCTTATTAATGTCAAACGTCAACATTGAAAAAGTTCTTTACCATACCAATTTTCGGACTCTCCTGGATGGTCTTGAACCGCATAATCCCTGACCCGTTCGGGTCTGTCGTTCAATTTAAATAAATTTGCATCCTCCGCAAGGGTTTTTTTTCTTCTCGTATACTTAAGTCATAGCTCACTACGCAAACAAGTGGACGTGATCAGAATGAACCGATGACTTTGGCCGGACAGAATTATTATTAGCTCTCTTCTTCGCCGTCTTCTCGATTCCGTTCTCCGTATTCTCCTCTTCCTTTGAATTTGTATTTACGTCTCGTCTAAAAACTCCCCATCTTACCACCACAATAATGTATAACATTTTCAACATGAATATTGGTCAACATATAGAGAATACCAGAGAATAATGGACGTATTGTTTTATTTTGTAGCCATCTTCTATTCTCTTTCGCGTAATTATTATAAAAAACTGAAAAAAAAATATAATAATAATTTAAAACTGCAGATTGCTATACAGAGAATCTTGAACACTGTATAATTTATTCGGAACACTATACATATTTGTCAGAAAACTTCATTTATTTTTAAATGTATTTTTCAAACGAAAGAATTTAAATTAAATTGAAACACGCAGTGTCATAAACGCAATTAATAAAATATACGATACCCTCAACTCAAATCGTCTATACCGTAATGGATAATAAGTCGGTATACAATTAGTAATAAAGTCAGTTGATATAAAAATCTATGATTCATTAATGTAATATTGTCATATCATCTCGTATATTCATAAAAAAAACATGATACACATGACATCATAAATTATTAAAAGTGCATTAAAATAAAAAAAGGTGCTCTGCTGTACAGTAGGTTACAAGTGGGTCACTGTTTAATGGATGGTATTAATTTTGAGTTCAATGATATAATATCATTGTATAAGAAAAACGATTCTAAGACTGTATGTCAGGCTAGGTATAAGACAAATTATATACTTATCGCTATGGTATTAAAAAAAATTGACCTTTAATAGGTACCTATAATAAATTCCAAATTAATCATATCACAATATCCATTAGGTAACTTATAACGCAAAAAAACTAAAAAAAATGGAAAATGTCCCTAAACAGTTCAAAATAAATCAAAATATTTCAAAAATGTTATCGTGTATAGAAAATGCAAATACAAACAACCAAGTGAAAATTGTATGTATCTACGGTAATTTGTTTTAAAGTTACACCAAAAACCAAATTCAATTTTGTGAAAAATTGATTTTGCGTAAAATTCTCGTTTTACCTTAATATTTATTTTGTTTTTGTTTTTGAAATTAATTATATTAATTATTCTTTTAAAAATTTCTGGGAATTTTAAATTTTGACCTCCCCAATGCACTACCAACGATATTCACTTTCCAATCGAACAAGATACTGAAGTTAAAAATCGAAGCATTGAAATGACTACTTTATCGTGTATACAGACACAAAAATAAACAAAAAACACACATCATTGTAATATCAATACATTCATCGTTCCACTCAAAATCTAAAATATAAAAATGTTTATCATAATACATGGGAAACGGTGAATACATAATACAAGCAGACGTAAGTACTTACTTATTACCACGCAAACCGTACAACATTCATTGCATTTTGTAAGCTACGACAGTAAAATTATTATTATTACATGCAGATTACACGGCACATAATATTATTATAAAATGACCGATAAAATACTATTATATGCGAGCTTGACACTTTTTGGCACTTCACTCCATGCAGATATCAGAATAAAAACAATGTAATATTATGATGTTTCAATAAATCATTAAAACATATCGCTATATTTACACATCAACGCGAGTTGGCTTGAACTATTAATATTCATCTTTTAAACCGTAACGTGAAAGTATACTATGTAACTTATTATAATATTATGCATAATTAATAGTTACATAAACCGAATAAGCGCTTGTTGTTATTGATAAAACCAATTATCACAATGTTCGACCACCAGCTGCGGATTAATATGGGTATATTAATAAGGAATAGAAAACCTTCACCGGATAAACTAAATCGTTAATTATTAGTCCTCCCCGACTGTGCTACACCTGTCTAATACATTAAGGTTGTTGAGTTTAACCAGAACACCTTGGACACTATTATATAGGCAGGTACCCTAAAAATAATGTAGAGAAGTAATAACTTAGTGGTGTAAGTACATCAAATTAAGGTAATAATATAGAAACGTTATTAACACAAATACGCGGGGAGTAATATTCATAGTTTACATATCGGTGTACTAATATTTAATTATTTGAAGGTTTCTTACTAATAACAAATGGTTGGGAGATTAATTCTCGAAGTAAAAAAAAAATACCGATGTTAGTAATCATTACTATTTCATATCATATAGGTTCCGAGAAAATTACCGAAATGAAATTATTTTACTCTTCTTAAGCCGTATTAAGTGCTCTCAAAGTCTCAACACTTAAGACGTATGCGTATCTGTATGCAGTGTATACGTTGATAACTGTATACTTAAACAGTGATATGGTGATTTAAATTAAATTATTTTAATTCAATTTCCCCAAATTAGATGATTATATTACGTCTAATGTACCTACACTGGAAATTAAAATATAGATGTCACAATTATTGTAGATTTGTCTGAGCACATAGACGACTGCAGAATCTAAAATAATTGTAATGAATTATGTATTATAATATATTAGAATACCATCATACATTGTAGGTACCTATGGTAGTTTATATTTATTTAATATGTAGAATATAATATTATAAACTGAAATCATTATATTCTCGACCCTATATTTATGATAATTTAAAAAGTTTGTACCAGATTTATGGGAAAAAAATGTAATGCATCTTAATGTATTTAATTACATATTTACATTGTAATACATTACATAGTAAGTTCATACTATGTAATACCGATTGTATAATCTGCCTGTTGTTTAAACAATTTATAATTTACAAATAAATATAAAATAAACCTTACAAAACGTATTAGTGTACTAAACTACATTGAACTGAGCAATATGGATTTTATATTATATGATTTAAAATAACGATATGCAACGAAAAAAAGTGCATTATATCGTATTTTGGCCGTTTTAGGTTTAGTAACCTAACTAAAAACGATAATCGAACAATTATTATCACTATTGAAATCGACAGTCCTATAAGTGAACCATCATTGGTGGACTACCATTATGCGTTAATATCGGTCTTTTAAATACAATTTTATATACCTATATTAACCTAGCAAAATCTAGAAATTTTTGGTACTAGTCTATAGTCATATGCCGGTGCCAACTTGAAGGACATATATTGTTAATATTATCATAATAGATATACCTTAGTAGGTAGGTTCAGACGGTTCAGTACCTAACTGATATCACTTACCTACTTACCTATCATATCATTGTGTTCATCTTGATGTGAAACGTGTGAGACGTAACAATATATAAGTTTCATTAAATTTGTCATAAATGATAATTTTTCAGTGCCAAAAGTATAGTGTATTTTAAATGTTAATAACATCGAGCATTTATTAATATATAGTACGAATTCAATGTCAACAATACTGCACTGTTTCAAAATTTTGAAGATTGAAATTAAATTGAAACAAGAATATTGTACAATACAATTGAATACTTTATGTTCAGAAAATTAGAGTTTTAATAGTTCACACCATAAGTCATTAATATAATAACTGAATATTATTATTAATCATTTTCTAGACACATTATATAATTAACTATATTATTTTACTTTTTACTGTCCATGTATTTATTAATTATTAGTAAAGAATGTGTCACTTGCACTTTAAAACTATTAGTCTGTTATTTTTTATGTCATAATATTTTACTGAATTTTTCAAATATAATACAAATATATACAACCAAATACTTTTTTAAAAATTATTGTCGAAATGAAACAATTAGAAACAATAGTATTCATACATAAACAAGAATAATGGACAATTTCAAAGCATAGTTATACAATGATTTCCGTTTGTATTTAAGGTAGTGAGTATCTATTCACTATTGTAATTCGTCGACAATGCATTAATAATGAATGTTATTAAAATGGGATAAGTTTTTATTGAGTTTACTTTATAAACCATAAAAACCTCAAAATGTATGTAGGTAGGTACTATAATATGACTTTTAAAATTATTTACACTCACAAGTTGTAGGTACTTGAAATACCTTTTTGAAATGCAGGTACAGTACTTGAAATAATTACTTACCATATTAAAAAAAGATGTTAGTAAATTAAACTCAGCTTAACTCATTAATTACTTAAGTAAAATTAAAACGTAACCTACTTAACGATCGAATATATTTAAATAATATTCGCGTTATAAGCATCACACACGATGTACTATCTACAAAATACATACCTAGGTACCTACAACCTATATAGATATAATTTAGAACTGTAGAAGAATGGAAAGGACATCAACAGTATTTTTTTGTGATTGAATTTTAAAACGTGGACGAATGTTTTTTGAATGGGAGGCATTGATAATAATTCAGTTTTCCGCCAAACCCAACGCAGAGGCTCACTTGCGTTTAGTTGTAAGCATACGACCATGGTACGACCCTACATCCATTCTTTTATCATTGTCTACATATATATGATTAGAAAGAAGGCTTATTCGCTCTTATATTATTAATCTGAAAATGTTACCGATTTCAGGAGTGCGTTGGAAAATCCCGGATGATCGAACCGTCGCTTGTCTTACAATAAATCCGACGAAATAAACGACCACTCGATCGAGCAGTGTCCTCTCGAAGAACGGTGCGACGACAACGACAACGATATGATGTGCGGCACGCGAGATTTCTACGCGTTAATCGCAACTCTCGTAGTAAGTATACAAACGATAATATACTATTTTATTGCTATTTGTTGGTATTATTATTATTATTATTATTATTATTATTATATTCATCCACACAGCAGCAGTTTACATATATAGTGACTGGTAGAAGTAATAATGTCGGTGATATCGTGTTTGGCGTGTGTGCACATTGTATAATATTATAATATTTTATTATTGTGGTAGGCAATTTCAACTATTTTTTTATTTCATCTCAATACACATTCGTACGATACTACTTTATATATACATACAGGGTGATTGACAAATCAATAAATCATGATCATGCCGTTTGTTCTTCAATAATTCAGTTATTGAAAAACTGATTTTTAGAATTTATAAATATACTAAAAGATCATAATATTATTTTAAAATTATTGAGACTTTTTTTCTTCTATTTAAAGAGTGGTCCCCAAAGATACAAACTTCTGTTTTTAAAATGAGAATCCCTCTGTTATACTCTAAATTATTTAGTGGATCAATTATTTTTTAAAAATAGTTTTACAAAAATATAAAGTAGCTGTAATATTGAATTTAGTATATTTATTATACTTGAACCATTTTTATAAATCATTAATGATGATAGCGAACAATGTAAATTGCCAAAACTTTCAAATCACCATAGCCCCATATTTTCCAAACTCATTATCATGGAGCTAATATCCTTAGTATACAAATTAAGTATACGTCTGTATACCTACTGAATTATTGAAAAAAAAAAGGCTGTGAGCATGCTTGGTGAATCACCCTGTATGTATAATATAATAAGAAGAATAACATAATACCGATCGTTTGTATGCAGCGACTGCGGGGACTTGAGCTTATTGATTTCGCTTAAAATAATATTTGATACTGTTGTATTTTAAAAGAAAAAAATAGTTTTTCTTTATTTTTCTCTAGAATGGGCCGGGAGTCTCATTGTTCGAGAACAGTGCTCATATCTCGTGGACATTTATAATAATAATATATTATGTAAAAAGGGGAAAGTTAAATTTGTTTTTTTTTTCGTGTGTGGTTTTTGTTGGTTCGCCATAGGTACTACATTTATTTAAGAAAAAAGGTGTGCTCGGTACGTGTTGTGAAGTGTTACGCAACCCCGTGGAGTTATATAAGCACCCCACAAGGTTTTTTTAACCCCATTTTATACGTTTTTTTCATCCTAATACAAACCCACTAGCGACAACCTTATCACATATAACCATCATTTTACACAAATTTATTTCAGACAATAATCAAAACAAATACTACCGTGACCACCCGTGGATCCCTCACGTGAATAATTTCTATATCGTCACACTCAGAAAAGTTTTCACACTGTTTGATTTACACAGGCTCGTTGTGCACGATTATCATATTTTATGACGCGTAAGAAAACGTCTCGCGATCGTATGTAATAATATTATAATAATAATAATAACGACAATATATTATTTCAACTCTCCGGCGAGTCAAAAGACGCATTAAAAATGATATTAATCTGTTCGCTGGTTTGTGTAGGTATATGTATAAATAAGTATAATGTATAATGTACCTATTACCTAATGTAATGTGCAACTACGATTTAAAACACGTGTTGTGCAACCGACGCTTGAAACGATTGTAGAACATTATTGCATACCTTTAAAACTCTGGAGTCAAAGGGTATACAATTAAAAATATAAATAACGTTTTCTAAAATAACCAGAGAATTGATTTTGGGATAAATCAATTCATTATTCAATGCTCTATCTAGGATAGCCTCATCAAGTGTAACTGTATCTGCAGGGATATTATATTATACCACACTGCAAGCCAGTAACAGGTTGTCATTATATCTGAACCACAATAATAATATGAATTAACCAGGGATTAATAAATTACTTAACTGTTCTTAACCAGTAGATTTTTGGATAGTGCCTCTATGAATCCCATCACTTGCCGTCCGAGGAATATTATTTGTTATAATTAGTTAGGAGATGGGAACATATGCAGCTGATAATAACACATTAATAACATTGTAATACATTTCAATTACATGCTACGCCGTACTAGTTTATTTTAACAAAATATGTATTTTGTTTCTTTTTTTTTTATATAATAGAAGATTTTCGTGTACTCTGTATCACCTAATTTACATATATTAATCCTACACTGCACATATTTTGTAGATATATAATGTATATGATATATGCTGCTAATGAGCTCTCCCCATGGCTTTTTCGTTTCAAAAAAACGTTTACATAATAATAATAATATATAGTTTGTAAACAATAAAATCCATAAAAATAATTAACTTTTAAAGTTGAATATTTTTTAAACGGTGTTTAAATAATTATTGCTCAATGAGAACTTATGTAGTATATAGTATAATTGATTTTATGATACAAGTATATTATAATTTATAAGTTTAATTAAATAGAGTATAAATAATTGGCAATTGGAATGATAATTGGTGCACGGTAAACTAATACAATATTAACACCAGCAGTGTATTATATATTATATTAATATGCATAACTTAAAATGACTATTATTATTATAAATACTAGCATTTTAAAGCTGTCATGACTATACGATTTAAAGAAAACTGAAAAGCTATACAGAATTTCACTAATTGGTGATTAATATAATTAAATTATTCTAGTAAATTAATAATAATGGCAACTTATTTTTAATTTTTATACATTTTAATTGTACATAATATCATACATTTTTCGACACAGTTATAAAATGTAACTTTGATAATGATGATGAAAATTATTGTTCAACATTTTTAGTATGTTCTTAGTATACCATACGAAAGCGTATACAATATACAAAATCTATTTAAAACGATTTTCGATGTCACGCCAGTCTTATGATCATACATTCTATTTATTCAAATTTATAGGTACCCAATGTATATTATTAATATTATCATTACAACCAACGACTATAAACTACAAACGTTATTTTTTTAATCACCGTATATGTTTTTCGTGAGTTGTGACTAAAAATTTCATTTAAACGGATTTCAGAAAATAAAATAATATGTTAATAAGTACGCGTTTTTGTACACAATACTATATTATAACAATTAATAGATAAAAAATAAGACATTTAATTTTAGTTTTGCCACTCACGAGTCACGAGCATCTGAAACATTTGTTAATTTTTTTTTTATCCAAACTTAGTAAACCGTTAAGTAATTTTATTTCACAGTGACAATAAAAACGGCTTTCGACGTACACAGTGAAAAATAAATGAACACAACTATTCTACAAGAGTATGTCTGGAGCTGAATGTTTTGGATCGATTTCTGGGACATATTTTTTTTATATAAATTATAGTCAAACAATTTCAACTCTGTATTTATTTATTTTTATTTCTACAACATTTGAAATAATATTTCAACATTAAACCATACCAAAATCCAATTTAACTAAGTTTAATAATGCTGTAATGTAAATAAATTAAATTGTTTATGGTCATACGTTCTAAAAGTTATGTAACTAAAAACTAACAACAACTCTATAGTTAATTGTTATCGTTTGTACATGTTTTTAATGATTACTACTTAAATTATTATCCGGTAATATGATTTGAATTTAATATTAAGGATCCAGACCAAATCGGAAAACCTAGCGTTATTTAGTCATTATATTTATTTATAGAAATTCAATTACCAGAGTGCTAAGTCATCGTCTCTGTAAATGTACTTTTATCGTAATATATATGAAACCCATGATCTGGCATTTACTATATTTACTATACATTTTCAAAAGTTTCGAACTAGAATTATTTTATATTATTTTATAACTATTTGTCCTTGTTGGATTCAATAAAACATTATTAAAAAAAATTAAATTAAAATGTATTGACCATCAACAATAACAGCATTTGCATTTTATAGTAGTTGTCAACTGAAATTATTAATTTAAATTTATTATCTACCTTCAACATAGTAACAGATTTAAGTTATCAAAGCAACATTAAAACAATACATTTATAGATTCAAAAAATTAGGTTAATTGTAAGTATCAAAAACACAAGATTATTATATTAGGTATAATTTGTATCATAGTCAACATTAGCAAAGACGCTTGCATTTTCCTATTGAGTATTGCCAAATTGGATGAATACAAATTAGAAGCTAATAAAATGGTATCTTAGTACCCGAAATAACTAATGCTAACATGCTAACTTTAAAATCTTTTTTAATTACACTGATGGAGAATCAATGTTTCAAGTTGGAATATTATTAAGGAATGTACTATATGGAATACGTCATTATCCAGGTACATTAGGTGAAATATATTTGAAGTTCTCTTACGGTTGATTAAAGTTTTGGTGTAAGATCCTTGGAATAATTACGTGGAAGGAAATTTATTTATAAGACTTAACTAATAATTTAAAAACCTTGCTTGTTGCTTTCCAATCGCTTACATCCAAAATCCAAAATTATTATTGTAAATATTGTTGTATTACTTATTTCACACTCATTACTCAATATACAATAACATTATTATTTGGCCATCTCGAAGAAAATATTATACATATTTATTCTTCAGATAAATATTAAATACTATGTAACATTATATTTCGATCATAATACAGAAATTTAATATAAAGATTTTTTGATGCTTTATCATAATTTAATTATAATAAACCCAATACTTCAATAGGTACCTTATTATATACCTTTCTATATATAATGTATAAACATGTAACAATAGTGTTCTTTAAAGTAAAATAATACAAATTATACAATTACGAGTACATTTACGTAGATACTTGGAATATTGTGAGTTAACATTGTATTAAATTAAACGTTTTATTTCAATTTTAATAATAATAAAATATTTTATCATAACAGCAGTATAAAAAAGAATAATTAACATTAATGGATATTGAAAGAAGTATCTCCCTCGGTACCCGATAAAAAAAACTCGATACAGATACTCTTTGAAAAGTGTTAGTAAAACTAAAGTTTTAAATTTATTATTTAGTTTTTAATTTTTAATACAACA